CACGACCACTAACACTGATCACCCGACACAATCACTTAATGTATTTTTAATCCAACGTGTTGTTACTACGTTAGGAAAATTCGTATCCCCGGAAAACGCCGATTGGTTTCAATTTTTCAGATGTTTTACGTAACCAAACATTTGCACACCAACACCCGCATATCCGTTATTGTGTACGTACCACCATAAGATTCCGTAATACTCCCGTGAACTGAACATCTCTGTCGCCCGATTGCTAACCGACTGACAGAATTTTTCCGAAAGGGCTTCCTCTACCCCCAAGTAGTTTCCCATCGTTACATTGTGAGTTCACTCTCACCACGACAAGATTTAGGTAAAACGAAACCAACGGTTCTAGGATAACACGTGCTTTGCAGAAGTGCAAGGGAAGAACCGTCGCGCAGTTTCTCCAAGGCGCCGTAGCCCGTTAATTTATTGCCAGGGTACCCACTGCTTCGAGATAGAAAACAGACGTCACGTGCATCGGCTTGAAAATGTCCGAAATGAAGAGGCCCTGGCCGACCACCCTTGTAGAGGCCGGAGTGGAATTTTCGGTTCTTTATGGCTCAATTTCTTCGGCCTTTTTTTTTTTTAGTATTCCGTCAAATATCTCGGAATTTATTAGAAATATAAAAACCGTACAATTTGCAATATTGTGTTTGTTTTGATATTGAATGTAGCTATATCATTGAATTCCAGAATAATCCCTTTCTTTAAACAATCTTTCGTTGAACTCTTTTCCGTAAATCATTGATACTTTGATATAGCTTTTAATCTATTGAAATAGTCTGGAGCGTTAGCGATACCATCAGTCGACTGTAATAGTGGAGCGCCCGATTCTTTTACCTGAACCGGGGCGCACCGCTGTCTTCAATGGGTTACTATTACGTTAATATGAACCGCATCACCCTACCGATAGGCTTATTTTACGGAAAAGAATTTAACGAATACGGTTTTTATATTTCTAATAATTTCCGAGATATTTGACGGAATACTAAAAAAAAAAATACGTATGAAATGTTTTCATGAGAACTACAATTTCACAAAGTTGTAATAAAATTGTCGATTGTCAATTCTGTTGTGAGTTCACGATTGCTACGAGGCCGAAGATTTTAAGCCATAAATAACCGAAAATTCCACTCCGGCCTCTACAAGGGTGGTCGTCCAGGGCCTTGCAGCGTCAACTGACACGTGTCGGTAAATTTTTTTCCCTGCTCCTCGAGATAGACAATGTACACTGTACTTTCCAACTCGAAGCAAGGGATACGTTGATGGTCCTCTTCATTTCGGACATTTTTAAGCCAATGCACGTGATGTCTGTTTTCTATCTCGAAGGAGTAGGTACCCTGGCAATAAATTAACGGGCTACGGCGCCTTGGAGAAACTGCGCGCGGTCCTTTCCTTCCACTTCTGCAAAGCACGTGTTATCCTAGAACCGTTGGTTTTTTTCTACCTAAATCTTGTCATGGTTGGAGTGAACTCACAATGTAACGATGGGAAACTACTTGGGGGTAGAGGAAAAATTC